TCAAGTGTTTTCATTGGCCTCTAACGTAGGCGGAAGTGGATGCACATGGAAATCAAACAATCTAAACTGGCCATTACAAAGAGCTCGTTTCATTCAAAATGATATTATTATAGTTATCTACTACCCAAATTATTATGGGTATGATTTTTAAGACAAAAAAACCAGTACTGAAACAAGTTTTCCAAGTTTCTCATAGGTGGGCCTCCTCGTTCTATCTTTGAATAAAAGTTGGAATTAAACAATTGAATTCATAGAGCAGCCACAATTATGTAGTTCGCCTGCTGCGGACCGCCTGAAGATCGGCAATACTTAGAGATTCTTTATGGGTCATTCTCCACCGGGGGTTTCTTCTAGGGCTTTGTTATTCTAGCCTAATGGTGTTTGAAGTGTCGCCTGGCTGGATTTTAAAATAGTTTATGGCATCCGCTGTCTGATTCACCTCTTTTTTTGATAGGCGTGGGCTGAATGGCTGCTTTCTACATTAATCTTAACTTGGGATTCGATAAGGGTCTCATTTATTCCACCTGCATTTGGGGATTCAGGGGTTCATTGCCCCGCCCGCTTGTCATTTCTTTTCGGGCTCTGACAAAATGAGTAGATAACTGGAAATAAGGAACATTTTCCTTAAGAATAGTTATGTTTCCAGAAATTCTGATACAAATATTCCCCACTTCCTTTTGGTGAGTAACATTTCGTGGGAATTTCTTTTAGCTGGCAACGAACTGTGTAATTAAAACCGCTGCGACTCCTTACGCATTTCCTTGAGCGGAAGCTCCCCGGATTTCATTCCGGAAAACTATTAGGGTTCCCTTTTGGCGAGCTTGGAATCTCGACGCTGGGCTTCCGCTGGCTTCTCTTCCCATTGCCATTGCCATTCCCATTCCCATTCTCATTCCTACCCACATTCGCATTGACACCTTTTATGATCCGTCGGCGGATGTTTCGCTTGCTGTTTTTTTTGTAGTGCCCCCGATCCCCTGCCATATTCCCATTTCGGGGGCTCTTTGTTTTGCTCGCCACATTCGCAGCTGCCAATTGGGCTAATTATTTCCGCTCCACTCTGCTTTGACCTCACCTCCTCGGAGCGGACTCCGGACTCCCCTGATCTCTGACCACCTCGTTTGCAATCGCAATCCAAGCTTGGCCCGTGTTTCCAGGTCAGCTATGTCAGCCACATGCCGCCCCTGCCGCCCCTGCCGGCCCCGCCCCCGGATCCCCCATTCAAGTGGACCGCCGATCGATACGACAGCCGCCTCGTAATGATTATTCAGCGCTTCCTTTCGCGTGCGATCCGCCTCGATCCGCTGACGCCGCCCATTCCGACAACAAGGTCAGATTTAATAATAACAGCATACGAACTCGGAAAGGAAGTCCCAGAACGGTCAGTCGAATACCAGACACTCTAGTGCTGAAGTCGTTTCACTGCTATCTTATCAAATACCTTTATTACTCCATTCAGGAAATCAGAACAAATGTACCAAGTTTCCAGATATGACTTTATAGAAACCAAAATGTGTTATTTTCTTAGTTTAAAATTAAATTTTACAAAAATATGATAGGCAGAAAAAGAAGGAAACAAAGTAATCGCAAGCTAAGCCCACCTCATGACTAATGTACCCCTTAATCGCTGAAAAGCGCGGATCTTCGCACTTATGATGTGTCGCATGCGTATTATTATTTGTTTTAGTACATGCCCGTTTTGTTTCTTGCTTTTGCTGTTGTAGCGATTAAAACAATTGCCAGCTTGTGAAAGCATTTCCGTTGTGCTAACCACCACACACATGAATCACAGCCATTAATCAGCAACTCTTACTCCACTTTCAGAACCAGAGCCGAGCGAGCGGAAGCGAAATGCAAGTGGAGGCCAGCTACCCGAAATACGCCGGACGTGTGCCACCTCTGGACCTCTCGCAGGTGAACGCGGGCCAGGATCTGTGGGGCGGCAACGGGACCAGCACCCCGTCCTCCAGACGCCACCTGCACCACCCCTACCAAATGCTGGACAAGTGCCGCGGCGGAGTCACCCTGATCAGTGCCTCCTCGAACTCCTCCTCCGACGACAACAACAATCGACTGATGGGCGGCGATGATGGAACCACAAGTCTGCTGCATCCCATGGGTTCCGACGGCCTGCCCCTGGATCCGCGGGACTGGACGCGAGCGGACGTCTGGAAGTGGCTCATCAACATGGCGGTGTCCGAGGGACTGGAGGTCACGGCCGAGCTGCCCCAGAAGTTCCCGATGAACGGGAAGGCCCTGTGCCTGATGAGCCTCGATATGTACCTGTGCCGAGTTCCGGTGGGCGGCAAGATGCTCTACCGGGACTTCCGGGTGCGACTGGCCCGGGCAATGGCCCTGCTCTCCTAGGTGTCTCGCGGATACCCCTCCCTGGTTGTACATATCTCTAGGATTCGGTTAGTTTAGCCTAGTTCTCCTAGCTGTAATGCCTAGTCGCTAGTGCTCTCGTTAGTTAAGTTTAGGCGTAATATCCTGCATTTCAATATTGTCAAAGATTGCTTCAAGTTCTTCGTACAAAGCCGAAGGAAATGAGCAAAAATGAAAAAAGAGTGAAGTTAAAATGCTGTCCTATTAGTTTGATAAGTTCGCATCTGATGAAAATATAAAATGAAATTTTATAAACTGAACAAACTGATGTTTTTATTGGACTCGAAAAGGGGAAATAATGAGTACTTTACGTTGCAAAAACTTTAATAATTTGAACCGAGGTGCCACTATAATATAGAGATTTTTTAAATCTCAACATATAAACATGTTTTGCATTAATTTTGTTGACCCATGATAATGATTCGACCTTGGAATTGGCTTATAATCTTACTGTACACATTAATTTTCAAGCAAATTTATAATTAGTCCAGATTTAATTATGAATTTGTGAGACAGGAATCTGTTCCAACCCAAATGTCGGTGTCACAGAAACCATGTTTCCAATGTTTTAAAAATTAGATCAAGTGCCTATGATGACACCGACGGATATTTGGTTGGTTTATAATTAAGTATGTCCCTAAAGCCGTGGAAGATCTCTGTGACATTCAATATAATGTCTAAAACCTAGTGCTTTGTTATATAATTGTTATATGTTTTTCTTTGCAAGCCTTAAAACTAGACATATTAACAAAATAAAAAGAATACATCTCACCAGATCCTTAAACAAAAATATCTTTGCTGTATTTAACAGACACTTTGCAACTTTTTAGTTTATTTAATCTCAGTCTCGTTGGCCAGCAGATACTTCTGAAATAATCCCAACAAAGAATACCACACGGGTCTTGAGCAATTCCTCTCTCTTTGGGACTTAATGTTCTGTTTATGTCTTTCACAATTCCCCCAGACGAACTCAAATTGACAAGTGAAATATACGTTCGCCCAATTAGCACATCATTAAGTCCCAACAAATGCTCTGAGTTGAAAATTTGGGTGGAAAGGCGTACGAAGATGAACCCCACACCTCTCACACTCACACACACAGACGAGCGCAGTAAACTCTTTGTTATTGTTGGCCAGAAGTTAGTGCCAACATTTGTTTAGGCCCTGGTCATACATAGATCACCAGAAAAAGTTTATTTTCCGAAGACTTTTCCCGTCTGTGTGATTAATGTGGTAGGGGAAAAGGGGGAAACTGGAGTTACTTCTCAGTAAATAGGGAAAATCAAATGGCCAAAAATGGTAGTACTGCAGTTACTTCACAGTAAATAAGGGAATACAAATAAAAGGAAAAGGGGGAGAGAAATTGGGGTTAGTTAAAAAAAAATGTTTTTACAAATACCCTTTTGATTTTCAGGGGATACTAACAAAAATCACAGAAATCCTTCATAATTATAAAGTAAGGCAATTTAAAAAAAACCTATTTGTGGAATAACCAAAAACTTAAATCTGGAAAAATCGAATGATTGAAAATGGGTTATACTAAGGTATTTTAAAAACCTTGGTCAAAATCCACCGAATAAGTAAAACGTAAGTACAAATTGAAACAAATTTCCCTCTGTAGATTCTAAAATGATGATGCACTTAAAACAGAAAATCAGAAAGCCCAATTTTTCGGGAGGGATCTGAAGAGTCCCCATTTAAATTCAAACTGTTGCAAAAAACGCAGCGGAACAATTATGACAATAGCAATAACAATAACAATAACGGATAACGATAATCAGCATCGGTAGTCAAATAGAACCCGGATAGATACAAAGATACATCCGTGTGTGGGCGAGTGAAAGAGCGATGGTTACATATATACAAATTCAAAGCGCTCCATCCGCCCGTGCATCCGCTCATTTCATTTGGGTTTTTCTTTTTGTGCCTCCTATGAATGGGCAGATACACAGTTGCATAGATACGCAGATACAGATACAGATACATTTGGATGTTCTTCCTGCTGCTGCTGCTTTTTCGCTCCATGTGGCTCATTGTCGCTGGGTTTTGTAAGTTTGCATTTAGTGCAGTTCGACCGTCGGTTTTTCGGGAGCATCCGGGATGTAGTTAAAGGTAAAGGAAGTGAGACAAATGAGCCAGACCAGACCAGACCCGAGTTCCCTGCTCGGTTGTTACCTTGTAAAACAGAAACCCAAACACAACACTCAAACCGAGGCAGCAACAGATGTCGCAGCCCGACACATGCCACGACCAGGGGCACAGTCCACAACCTTGTCCGCCAGCTGACGCCGCTGCATCCGAAGACCTCGAAACGGGCCCAACAGGAATTTGAACTCCAATTACAATTCAGCAGAACTGCACAACTCAAATTGGGCAGGTCATAAAGAAATCTTTAGAACTCCAACTTCATAAAATTCCATCCATATTCCTGTTAAAAATATCTCTAAGCATCTTTAAGGAATTACAAAAAAATGTTATGTTATTTTATGTTTTCTATTGATTTTAAGTAAAACGTAATAATTATGACGAAGATAAATTTTTTAATTACAATATTTTAATGTAAAACTTTTTTCCCCATCCTTAAATTGAACTCATAGAAAATTCGACATACGTTGAATTTCAAATCAAAATTATTTTATAACAGGAAATACAAATACTATATATTTACGAAAGATTCTAAAATCCAAAATGCAGTCAAGCAGTAACTTTTTTAAGAGGTTGGTAAGGTTGCAATCTGTGTTTTGAAAAGCTTATGACCTCTCCGCTTCAGTTTTGTTCCCGTAAAAATCTACCAGTCAGTGAGTTCCCTATATATGACATGCATATCGAAAATGCCGCGGAACTCCACTCAGCCGGAGTGTGACCACAGGTTGGTGATCGAACAGGCCTTGGTTTCTGCCGTGGATCAGACACTCCGGCCCTTGGACTATGAGAAACGCCAGCGGGAAGCCCGCGAGATTCTTCTCAAGTCCCAGGAGAATCTGTTTCAAGAGATGGGCCTAGGCCAAAGTTCGGCGGATGGAGGAGGTGTGCTAACGGAAGACGATGAAGACGGGGCTTTCAGCGGACCAGTGCGTCTTAGGTCTGAGATATTACTAAACGAATATAGGAAGTTGTACGAAGCGCCCGCCAAGACGGCATCTTACGAAGTTCTACTCCTGAAGGACATCAGTAAGTACAACATTTATGCTTTATAAAGGGGCTATTCCAGTGATGTTTGACTCCCCAGAGCAATATACGTGGCTGATACTGGGCCTTTGCATCGCGGCGTGCAGCATCTTTACTCTGATCCATTTGATATGACCTGTCACCGAACTATGTACTTATTGATCTGTGGCGAACGCGGCGAGCAAAACAAAACGGCAATCGAATAAACCATATAAAGACCGGGAAAATTGAGGAAACGCCGCTTATGTAAAGTAGAATATCCGCAGGCAGGCGAACGGAAGGCGAGGTGCGAAAACAATAAAAGCGGACGGAAGTGGACAGGGACGGAAACCGACGACGGTTCCGTCGATCGTTGGACTGTTTTCTGACCAATGCCACAATAGATATTATAAACCATAGACCGGCTACCGGGCTTCGCCGTTCGGTCTTCGGTCTTCTGTCTTCTGTCTTTTGCCAATTTGTCGAAATGCTTTTTCCGCTTTTCCGGCGCCGTAATTGAATTTCTGTTTCGGGGAGGAAATGACTAAACCAAAAACGCTTTACACTCCCGTCCTCAAGTGGCTCAGGAAGCTCGATAGGATGGGTTTTCAATTGCACAATCGAGAGACTCCAGAACTCCAGGGCAGGGCACTGTTATATTTTTTAATTAGTTCATTGCCTGCTCCGGCGCGATATTTCCCACGAAACTCCATCTGCTGTGGGGTAAACAAATGGAGTGAATCAACAGAAAACAGAAAAACACGAAATATGGAAAGAGTTTTCGAAGCCACACACAATGCACTGGGGGCAGCCACTTGTTGATCGTTTCTCGTATGTTTGTTCTGGTCCGAAAGAGTATGCTAAACATGTTTGGGGCATCGGCATCCAGGAATTTATGATCCCAGCCCCTTATCAAACTAATGCGTAAAGAAAACCCATCATTTCGACCCACGCAGGTGAGTCAGAGCAGCGGATGCCATAAAGAATCCCAAGCCCAAATAAGGCGACGTTTTGGACACCATTAGGAGGCTTACAGAAAAATATATTACGAGACCCCTTGGTGGAAAGTCTTAGGTATTTCAGAGCTTCAGGAGGTCCCCAGCGGGAAAGTCAAGTTCTGAAAGGGTAATTAGTAAATTTCGAATTCATACATTGGGCGTGCAGAAGAGTCATGTGGAGCTGGGAAATCCCGGGGGTCCGAATTCTTACCGCTCACATTGGCGACTTCCGGCCGCGTTAGATGGAATATTATTGTTGTTTTTTTCAGCGAATCCAAGAGCACTTGAAGTTCAGCGGATTGGATTTCTGCGTTTTTTCATCGCTTTGTTTTTTGGGTCTCGGGTTCTTTCTCACTCCCACGCTCATGGGAGCTGGAAAAGCTGTGTGTGAATGTTGTTTAAGGGAAATGCCCAAAGACAAAAGTCTCAGGGCAGCCAAGAACTGTCATTGCCAGCAGAACCCACACAAAGAGATACTTGGGTACTTTGGCTGGATGGGAGAATGTTATGCATAGAGAGTAGTCTGATTGCCACACACCAGAAGAAGTTCATGGGAACGAACTTTGCGGCCCGGGTAAGTCAAGTGTGAAGAATGGTGGCCGGGGGATTTGGGGCCTAGGATGGAGAGGGGAATACTTCCCCCTCGTTGCAGCAAGTGCAGTCATCTAATAGATGCGAGTACCAGTCATGAATACGACAATTAATGCCAGCCACCATTCATGATTTACTCCTAGCACAAACGGCAATCAAGATAAAAACACCCTTTCCACAGAGAAAAAAAAAAAGAAATATTTAATTTAATTTATCCATTTATGAATATAAGATCTTTTTTAACAATACTTTATCAGCAACCTCTTTAACTTAACCATTTAATTGTACATTTAATAGCAAATCAGTCTTAGTTTTGTAGACTTTACGCATATTATTATTTTATATAATTTAGTTTGTTTGTATTAAATATTAAATTGTATTTATTACTTGAATTTATTTTTAAAATATTTTAATATCTCAAAAACCTTAATGTTCCTTTAAGATATTCAGTGACAACACAATTTGGACATTAGAAAACACCTTTAATTATTAATATATAGGTTCAAATCGTAATGGATACTGGAAATACAGCTTGTGGTTAGTATATTAGTTAACCCGTATTGAAAGACCATAAAAAATACAACACTTTTTGCCAGTGTAGTCCATAAACTCCTCTTCTCCGGCACTTCCCATCCAATTGCTTGCTTATGCAAGGCAACGTGACTGTGTGGGCGTGTCATCACTTTCAATTTTGCGGCCAATTTGAGTGACACTTTCTGCCTGTTTGTCACGCCGCTTGCGTAGCCAAAGATTGTGGCACAAAGGGGCGGAGGGAGCGGGAGTGGGAGTGGCACCGGGCTGCAGGAACCGCCAAGGAGGCCTAGAGACGCAGCTCTGTGTCTGCTCGTCGTCTGCTGCGCTTCCGTTTCCTGCGCATACATTTTAATGAGCGAGCCAGATTCCCCTCCTCCGCCTCCCTATAAAGACTCTATCAATTGAAGATAAGAACAGAAACGAAAAAAAGAAAAAACAGTCGGCGGGATGGGAAACCCTTGGCTTCGTCAGTGTCTCTTACCTTGACTTTCGCGAACCGTGCACAAAGTCACGGCAATGTTGGCCATAAATTGGCACAACCAGTTTTGGCCACGGGAGAAAACAAAAGAAAAGCCGAGGCATTGGCCAAATGGATGAGGCTTTTACTGGCTTTCCCAACCATGAAATTCGCGCAGAAGCACTCGAGCAGGAATACAGGTGGGCAGACTGATCGACAGGTGTAGTATCTCGCAAGAGAAATATAAAAACAAAGTCATACATTGATGAGATTTTTAATTTTGTTTATCAAATATGTAGATTATTTAGCATATGAATAGATTTCTTATTAACTTGTTTTGATATTCTATTTTTGAAAAACGTATGTATTTTACGAAGACTTATTTTTTCTTAAAGAAAGTTTGAAACACACATTTCGATCATTAACATGATATAATCTAAAATAAAAATTCCTCGAATTGGCCGAATTCCTCGAATTGTTATTCATAAAAAAGGGAAATTTATTTAATTTATTTTTTAAAAACTTTGCTATGCTATGCTAAAAAATATGCTGATTGACCGGAAATGGGTGCTCGTAAAAATATTTAAGTTCAAATAAATATGTTTATTGAAAAGAGCAATGCTGAGATTAAAAGTTTAAGGATTGGCTTACTCTTTTAACGGAATTTCCCAATTATTGTCCTTAAATTCTCCACGATAAGTACGAAAATGATAAATAAATAAATAGTAAATTCTAAGACTAAATGTTTAAAAACTAGTTGATATGTTCCTTTTTTAACGAAATCTCCACGTTCTAATCCTTATATTCTCCTAGATGCGCACATACCAGCAAAAAAGACATAAGTATCTTAATATATTTTCTAAATTTTCAGCGCAATTCAAGATCTCTCACCTTTTCTAACGAAGTCCCCCAATTCACATCCTTATAATTTCTATAATAAGAATAATATGATTAATTATTTATTAACCTTTTACTCCTTTCCCTCTTAACGAAATCTCCCCATTCATATCCTTATATTCTCCCAGATGCGCATACCAGTAGAACCCATAAGTATGTTAATATATTTTCTAAATATTCAGCCATCCTAAGATTGAAGGTTTAGGAATTTTACTCTTCTAACGAAATCCCCCAATGCTCATCCTTATACTCCCCCTGATATTCTCCCGGATTCCAGCATACCCTCGCAGCTCTAGGACCCCAGTTTTCTTCTCTCTCCTTCGCAGTCTTGGCCACACACCGCTCTGTCTTCAGCTGGCAATCGAAACTAGTTTTTCAGGTTCGGCGCACGGCTGATAACAACAATTGCAATGCGAATGACGCCGGACGACGGCGCATGCGCGCCACTCTTGCATTCCTTTCGGTGGCTCTGGGTGCGCAGAGCCCCTGCCCCTTCCCCTTCCACCTCCCTTCGAGGCATTTGTGGAATTTTAATTGCGCAAAAAGCAGCGGGACGGAGAGGCCACTGCAATTGCAACTGATGCGATGGGCTGGAATGGGAATGGCTGAGAATGACGTTGAATGATGGTTAGTTGGAGGTGCTTGCAAGTGAGAACATATCGCGTGATGGTGATAGATATAATGGCCGTGGACAGAGCGCAGTCTTGTCTTGGGAAGATGGGGATGAGGCTGCGATGGCACATTCACCGGCCACGCCTTGGACTCAGATACCCAGACTGCCGACCGCTGATTGCGATGGCAAACAGAAACAGAGACAGAAACCAACGGACCAGAGCAGAACCAAGCCAGTGGAGGGCTGGTGGAAAATCTTACACGCTGCTCGAATTATAAGTCGTCGACATTTTGCCTAGTAGTCGCCACAGAAAAATGAGCCAGCATAAATAAACCAAAGCGAAGCCAGGCGAAATAGAATAGACATTTGTATCTGTTGTTTGTGCCTGTGCCTCTGTCGCTGTTGTAATTGAAGTTGCAGAAAGCCAGAAAGCCCAACAGCCACAGCCACAAAGCCCAAACTAAAGAGAAGCAGAATAAGATGGGGTCTGTCTTGGGCCCCACCTCCGTCCTCATCCACATCCACGTCTCCATCTCCGTATCCACGTAGCCAGTGGAGCGCGAGGCATGGCGCATACGGAAGCCATAAGCTGCAAGAGATTTCTCTTCTGTGGCCTCCGCTCGACTTTCGGCTGGCTGTTGAACCCGCAGCGCATCACTGGAGCGTGGTTTCCCCGCCCGCTGATAGTAGTCCTCCTTCCAAGGGCCCCACTTGGCCAAATCACTTGCCCCAAAACGTGTTCAAGGATGCCATCGAAAATCAATCGCAGAAACGAAAACGGAACACTGCCAAAAGGAAGGGATGCCCAAGCACAAACCGCCGAAAATTACAGGAAGCAAAAGCACTTGCCGAAAACGATCGAAAATCATTCAATTACGACAGCTGGCCCTGCATATAAATAATGGGCGTGAGCTCCCCGAAACATAATTATGTAACCACACAGGGGAAAAAGAGATCTTGAGATGGCTTTATGAATTCAACAACAGTAAATGTTTATTTTTTGTTTTATAAATTTATTTTATTTTTAATATTTATATTTATTATTATTTCATGTTAAAAAAGTTTTTAATTTTAAAATTAAAATTAAATTATTATTTATCCTTTGTTTTAAATGTATTTATTTTTATTGTTTAGGACAGAACAAATTTTCAGAAAAGCTTTTTGAGCAACAAACTTTTTCTTTTTCGATATATGAAGTTAAAAGGGGGAAAAAACTTGTAGGTGGAATCACAGGTGCACAATTTTATTACAGGATGCGGGTGCAGAAATAAAAGCAAAGCGAATGAGGTCAGGGCTTTTTGGGCATTAAGTATATGTATGTTCCCCCATTTTTGAAATACAAATTTAAA